AAAAAAAAAAAAAAAAAAAAAAAAGGAAACCCACTTTGATCTGACAGTAGGACTCCTTAAGCCTGTTAAGCATTAGCAAATCTACAGGCTTTGACAGGGCATCAGTCCGAATTGGTGGCCATGTTTGATGATGCCTCTGCGTCCAGAGAAGGCATCTTGATATATCCTGTTATAATTCAAAAAGAATAAGAAATTATTTTCATTAAGAAAGACAAAAGCCAATTAAAATATCATTGAGAAAAAAATTGAAGAGTGAACTGAATACATTGCTTTAAGCTCGAAAATAGAGACACAGGTTTTTCCAAAAAAATCATTAGAGCTTTCCTACTCCCATTGATTATGATACATCAAACAGAAAAAAGTACTTATTCCATTTTCCTACCAAATCTCTCTGTCTATTTTGGCACATAAATGAAGGGATCGAAGAGATTATGACTTGCTTTATTGTTGTGTCAGCTGGTTCTCGACTCCGGAAGAAAAGAATGACGGTTCAACAAGCAACCTCTTTTTTATTAAACAAATATCCGAGGTAGGTCTACAGACCTAGATGGTGAAATGAGGAGGTGCAAACTGACAGTCCTTTTGGTGAGCGCATAGAAGAAAGAAACGCATAAAAAATATTTATATCTCACTAAGGATATGTATGTATGAGAGAGCGGTTACAAGTGTGAGAATTGTGAAAGGAGATACAAAGGAATCATATGACCGTGAGTTTATACTTTACACTAGGAATCGCCTTGAGCCCGTAGAACCCTAGTTATGGATGAGTTAACCAATAGCATACATATCGAGGTTTCATGGTACATGAGATTTGCAGATGAAACTAGCAAATGAGCCAACCAGAAGTTGGAATAATCAACCATGGAGAAGCAATTTGGAGAGTAAAAATTTATGGATATGTAGATACAAGACAGAATAAATGTACTGCAGTTTTAAAACCCTATAGTAACATTGCAGGTGAAGTGAGATTGGACGAGACTGTAATATTTAAATGCACTCAATCTTCTACGAGAATAGCATGATAGATAACGATGTAACACATTAAACTAAAATGAGATGGTTGAAAAGGAAGATTGCTATGGGAGCAACTCTGGGATAAAAAGATGCCTAACAAAGTGAAAGACAAATAGTATAGAATTATTATGATACCAACAATGTCATTTAGGTGTTGGAGAAATACAAATGTTAAGATAGACACACAATCATACAGAATTGGACAAGAGTAATTAAAAATAATCAAATCTGACAAAAGATACAAGTAACACACAGAGGATAAACTGATGCTGCTTGAAATAGTTTGTCCATGTCCTTTGTAGACCTACAATCTCTCGGTATCAATATAGACTTGTCTAAGAACATAACAGAATGGAAGCAAAGGATCCATATAGGTGATACCAATTAGTTGGAGTTTTTTGTTATTGTTGTTACAGTTACATATTAGTACAGTATATGTCTGAACTTTTCGTTATCTGGTCAGAGACTTGTATGCAAGTATAGGGATACGTGTGAGATTTAGATAATATCTAGGTTTGAGAACCCCTAATTTGCTTTACAAGATGAACAATTTAGTATTGGAATAAAAGGGTCCAAAGAGAGAGGAATGGGTATAAGGAATTCATAAACATAAGCCTAACTAGTTTGGCATTGAGGCATAATTTATGTTGCTCGAACTCTCCAAAAATGTTGCCGCATTCATACCGGATCCTTCAAAACTGCACTACTTTTAGAGGATTGACACGCGCCCGAACATTTTTGAAGAGTCCTGTGACATAGGGCATAATCGATTGACTGATTGAACAAGGATAAAACACGTATGTTGAAGTCAGTAATTTTAAGGTACCCTGAGATTCTTGATCTTTGAGCTCAGTTTATTTTCTCTGCCCTCTTGAGTTTATCAAGCATAAGCAGCCTATTGACAACAAAACTAATCAACAAAAACTTCATTTAACAAGTTCTTTGTCAATTATATGGTTTACCCTAATAAAAAAATCAGACGACTTCTCCAAGAATAGAAGTGAAAATAACTTTCTAGTATAAGCAAGCATAAAAGATACAAAGAATTATATCCATAGTTTCCACAGAATTCTCACCTCTCCGCCGAAACGTAAAGATATCTGTGTCGTGGGTATAGTCACTCCATCCTGTCCAACAGCATCAACTATTAACATAACGAGACACATGGACGATCAAAATTGGTCAAATAGAAACTTTCAGGATGGTCTTTGTTAAAAAGCATAAGAATGTCACAGGATTCTCTCCGCTTCATGATTTAAGTAACAGCACATGTATAAACTGTATGTCATTCGCAAAGTATTTGGGGAAACTAAGGCGTGGTTGCCCCTGATATTTTTGCTCAAGTGCAAGGACTCATGTTGAAGCAGTAACCACAGTGAAGCAATGATTCTACTGAAAGATATCATCGCAATGATAGAATAGCTATCTCGCAATCCCAATTCATTTGTATAATTTAACCTAGTATCGAGACTATGGATAATAAGAAATTTGGTTATACTTGGGTGTGCGTCACTAGCATTGATGGTGTTGGATGTATTAATCATGACATGTCAATTTCCTCTTTTTAATTATTAATCATGACTTGTCATATTTGGACAAGCACATGAAGACAAGCGCATGAATGGGGGTTAACAAGATTCTCACTGTCCCCGCCTACTATCCAGTGAAACCACAGCCAAGAGTAGTTTGGGAAATCTATTATAAAATAAAGAGGAAAGTTATCATTAATATAACACCTTAGTAACAAGAATTATTTTCAGAATGTTATCATGTCATATAACCCATCCC